GCCTGTCTCTGTCTACCAAGTGCTGGGATTAAAGGTGTTCACCACCACCACCTGGCAAAAGTATTTCTTGAAATGACAGAACACAATAGGAGTGTATGTAAAAACTGGCAATAAACCTGTTGCCTTCTGTTATAAACAATATTTTTCAAAAATAACTTCTCCAAGGCAAGTACAAGAGTAGCAGTGTACAGAGCGACTGTCCGCGTTTGCAAATCTCCACATCTGGATTCAGAGTGGCCAGCTGGGTTCTTTTACCTGCTGCTTTGGTCAACCTTTGACACTATCTCGAGTCATTCAACCTCAGCAAGCTCCATTACAGGCTGTGAGAGGAGGAGGAGGAGGAGGAGGAGGAGGAAGAGGAGGAGGAGGAGGAAAAAGATAAGAAAATGCTTTGGTGTCCTTGATGAACCTGGATCTGCCTGCCTGGGGTCTCCAGCAGGGGCTCGGGTTACCCAGGGATTCTGACTACACTGAAAGCTGCTGTTGAAATTTCCCTCAGGAATCTGACCAGATCTCTTTCTTCCCTGCAGGTTCTTGCTGCAGGCTCTGTGAACTCAGGCTCTGTCTGCACCGGAGGCTGCAGTGTTTTTAGGTAAGTTGCTGCAGGCTGCCGCACAGACCCAGTTTACCTTCCACGGCTATTTGATGTTTTAATTGGACTCCTGTGTCCCAATAATGGTTCTTTGGAAAGACTGTTCTTTCTGGGTGTATTGAATGTTGTGATTCTTTTCTTTTACTCACAGCAGATGTGGTGAACAGGGCTGGCAGGGCTCACATAGGCTCCTTTGAACTTTGGAGTTGCCTAAATAGGGGGATGGGGAGGACTGGTTCAAACCAAGTCACTGATGGGTTTCTCTGTGTGTCCGGGGTGTGTTTACGCGAGTATGCATTTTCTAGTCAGCTTGTGCATCTCTACATAGAGAGTGCTCCCTAAGTAACAGGGACTCAAGGGAGCATATTGCAGGCAAAGGGCTCCTGAAGTCCACTGTCCTGGAGGATGCAGGACGTGGTGGGGCATGCTGAGATGAGCTGTTATGAGTTAGATGGATGAGGCAGATAGGACCAATTGTCGGCTTACCCATTCAGCCTTGCGTCAAGACTGTGCTGCCCCCTTCCTTAGGTGAATATAGAAACAGCAGGAAATGAGATAGATCTGAGAAGGGGCCAGTTAGGGGTGACCACCTGGCATACTAGGCCTCTAACGTGTGTCAAAACCAGTTCCTGACCTACTCTGTCCTGCCTTGTAAGACCACTCACATATGTGCCTATCTGGACCTCACATGTCTGATTTTCTACCCTTTGCCTCTAAGAACATGAATGTATATTTTCTAGGAATAAAAAAATGTGTGTATTTGGGTCACAGTGAATTACTTAATACGGACTCATTTATGCCCCATCTGTTACCAACATCCCAATTCGTTTATCTTTTGACCCAGAGTGCCCTTCATGGCATCATCCACCTCCATGCAGTGTCCAGTCCAGGTCTGCGTGCTGCCTAGAACTGCCATGTCTCTTGTTCATCCTGGTACCTGCAGCCTTTGACTTCCATATTTGTGTGCGTGCGTGCGTGCGTGTGTGTCTGTCTGTCTGTCTGTCTGTCGCATGCACACGAACAAGGGCAAGATATCCCCACAGGAGATGCCAGATTCACCTCATACTTTCTCACTGCACAGGGTCAGTGCATGAGGCTCGTGTATGTGGGGAGGCTGTGGAAGTCTCTGTGCAGAGAGGAGTGAATGCTGAGGATTGGAGGTAGAGGACCAGGATGGGTTGTGTGTGACACAGCTGTGTTCCCTCCTGATGGGATCCTGAAGTCTCCGTCCACTTACTGTGTAAACTCTGATGTGGGGACAGAACTGCAGGGAGGTGAGAGCATCCCAGCACAGGAAATAAGCAGGCCTGCCTGCCTGCCTGCCTGGGTTTTGCTTTAGGAAAGAACCTTGCCTTCCAGTGCCTTGGGCTCCTCTCCTGCTAGGTGACAAGCCAGTGCCGTTGAAGCCAGGTGGCGGCCTGGGGGCCTCCTGGAACTACCTGGACACAGTTGAGGACCCTCTGGCGTTTCCTCACCTGGGAGAGCTGTGGGAAGCAGCTGCTCTTGTTTCTCCAGCCTGTGGGGTCTCTATTTCCGGAGCAAGGCTTAGTGGGTAAGCATGGGGAGCAAGGTCCTGGGCAGGTCCTAGAATATGCTCAGGCTGAGCAGTTCTGATGATGCCTGCTAGATTTTAGGCATCCGTCATTTTGTCAGAAACCCTAGTTTATACTATTATAATAAAGATATTACTTCATACAACTCAGAAACATGAAATAGAGAAAGTGTCCCTGTGTGGAGTACTCTCGGAAGGTGATCATTTTGGTGCCCATAGACTTCCCGTAAATCTAGTCATATTTACAATCAGGTACATTTAAAAAGTGGAATTACCTGGGGTGTGGTTCTGCAGACCTTTGATCCCAGAACTCAGAGGCAGAGGCAGGTGGTTATCTGTGAGTTCAAGGCCAGGCTGATCTACATGGAGTTCCAGGCCACTCAGAGCTGTTGCTGCCCCCACCCCGCAAAGGAATTAATGTCTCAGTAGGTGAAGGTGCTTGCCTGGCTGCCTGAGTTCAGTTCCCAGAAGCCACATGGTAAAAGGAAAAAACTGACTCCCATAGACTTTTCTCTGATCTCCACATGTGTGCCCCTCTCTGGCCCCTACAGGCATATGTACACATGTGCTCCTGCAAATACGTGGAATATGACATCTTGCTGTGTACCACACTGGCAGTGTGCTTCACTTTGGGAGGTGTTTACAGTCCTGCATTATAAAGACGTACTTCTGTGTATCCCCTTAGTGAAAAGCAGCTGAGTTGGCTCTTAGTTTGTGAGTCCGAGGGCTGGGCTCTGTCACAGAACACATTGTAATTTCATAAGCTGTTTCCTTTCTCTAGTTTGTTTGTTGATATGGAGCGTGTGTTTGGTGGCAATGGAAGGTTTTGAGACGGAGGCATTCACTGAGGAACAATGGGGAGCGTTCAGACTTTGATTCCTTAGTGAAATAACTGTTTTTGTTCCGTGGAGGCTTGTCTCTGTTAATTAACCATGTGTCTGAGAGCAGTTGGAAGAATCCACACAGCTTGAGTCATTCCAACCCAGGCGCTCCTGCCTCTGCCTTTCCGTAGGCCAGGTTCTTTGGAGATCCTGGGTGATTTGGTTCCTTTCCCTACACACCTGCCCAGCCAACCCCCGCTGTGCAGGGCTGTTTAAAGAGAAGTGAACAGAGAGGCTAAGCATGGCTACAGCGTGGGAACTGTAGAACTGAATCTGCTGATGAAATTCCTTGTTTATATTCAACACAGTGGGGTTAGCAGCCGTCCCTCGTCTTTGCCCCGAGTCTAGTTCTATGTACTCCATTGCGTCCTTCTGCTAGGGAGGGTGCCAGAGCCCCAGAGTGGGGGAAGGACCTAGAGTCTGGTGCTAGGCTGTCAACTTTGAGCCGTGTTGGCTCTGGATACATGTAAACAGACATGACAGGACATGGACTTTGAGTGGTGGTGGCACACACCTGTAATCCTAGCATTCAAGAGGCTTTGGCAGGAGGGTTGTGGGTTGTGAATGCAGGACCAGGCTGGACTACATATGGAGACATTGAGAGAGAGAGAGAATATCCCAATACACACATACAGCCACACACACACAGAGACAGACAGACAGACAGACAGACAGACAGACAGACAGACACACACACACCCCAAAACTGAGCTTGGTGGAACCTGATTTAATGAAAGGAACCTTAATGTTAGAGTTGAATAGCAGCCTGCACTTTGCTACCAGATTGTCAGTGTTAATTTCTTTAACCTTGGGCAGTTTGCCTAAATTATTTGTTTGGTGCTGGAGATTGAGCCCAGGGCCTTGCCTTGAGCATGTTAAACTGAGACATTGTGTGCTTTGCTTTCCATATAAGCAAAAGGCACTGAAATGTCACACCCCAGTCAATAATAACCTCTGGGAGGGGTGGGTCCTGATAAAGGCTCTGGAGCCTCCCTGTCCTGCCAGGAAGCAGTGTTTATAGGTGGGCTGTGGGAGCATCTCTGTGGGTGATCTCAGCTGCTGGGCTTCAAGACTGGGTGGTCACATCCAGCTTGGAGAAATAGCTATACAACAATCAGTCTCAAGCTTTCTGTCAGATTTTATTAGTGGGACACTTGCTGCACCAATATAGCTATTTAACTAAAAAAAAAAATTTCTGAAAAAAATGAGCTCAGTTGTTGATACCATCCTTATCATGATCTGTTATGTCCATGTAACATGATGACTCTGTTTAGAAGGGACTACAGTAAGAATTCAATCTGAGACAGATGGGACTGAGACCATAGGCAGGCAACACAAGTGACCCTGAATGACTTCTTCCACCCCGGAAGAGATGACCTGCAGTTTATGGCCTCCTTTTGTTCTGCGCCTGTAAATCAGTGCCTTTTCCATTCTGCTGGTGGGAGCATCAGGTGGGTGGTTACAGCTGGTTAAAGCCGCATGGTTCCCTGTGTTATCTCGCAGCACTTTTAGCCTCAGGGTTTAGTAGCTGGGAGCCTGCTAAACTTCAAGGTGCAGTACCCGAAACTGAGTCTGGCATAGAAGTGAGTGACCTAAGATAATCTGAGCTCAGGACCACAGCATTCCACATGGAGAGGGGGGCGGAGGGTGTTAGGGTCAGCGCCTGAGCCCCGGCAGCCCTAATAGCCTCGGCCTGGCTGCCCTCTCAATAGACCACTTAGAGGCACACGTGACAGTGAAAAGCCAAGAAAGCTAAGATTGAATCAGTGTGGCCAGCTGAGAGGAGGAGCCTAGCTGGTCAGTGCCCCTCCCCTCACTCCCATTCTTCAGAGTCCTGACAGAAGGTTTAGGTTGAAGAGAGGGCAGAGGTGTGCACAGCTGAGCAGTCCTGGTCAAGGTGTGGGCCTGCCCATCACTAATGCATTGTTGTTTCAGCTCCAGTCTGTCCCGCGTGGTGGTCTGACAGGTTGTCAGAACTGGGTAACATCTCGTCCTGGGAGACAAGCTCTTCCTCTGGCTGGCACCAGGCGTCAGCCTTTTCCTTCATGAGCAGGAGATTATTTGGAAAGTCCAGTTTCTCGGGGTCCACTCTCTCAGGAGCCTGATAGCTGGAGCGTGGGAGGTGGACGCAGATGTCTATAGCATAGTCTCATTCTGTCCAGGACAGTCAGGGGATCAGGATGTCTCCTGGACTTGGGTTGAGCCAGCTGCAGTTTCTGTACTGTAGACTTGTCCATTTCAGAGAGTTTGAGCACACAGTCACTTCCCCATCTTGGGCTTGCCCTGTATCCCCAGTAAAACGTCATGGCAAAGATGCTAACACTGTATTAGAAAACGTGAGTGCTGAGTTAGAATCAGGGTTGTAGGAGTGTTGAAATGCGGCTTTTAAATTTTCAGCCTGTCATGTGCCTCCTGTTTCTGATGCCACCTCTCACAGTGCTGGCTCTGTTCTGTCCAGCTGTGCACTCCACAAGGGCTCTCGGTCCCTTGGTTGTATAGACTGTGCAGGCTTCAGCCTTCACAATGGTTCACTCTAGACTGGTGTGCGTGCGTGTGTGTGTGTGTGT